AAATGAAGGAAACGACAGCAAAGATCAATAAAACTAAACACTGGTTCTTTAAGAAGATAAACAAAATTGATAAACCATTAGCCAGACTCATCAAGAAAAAAAGGGAGAAGACTCAAATCAATAAAATTAGAAATGAAGCAGGAGAAGTAACAACTGACACTGCAGAAATGCAAAGGATCATGAGAGATTACTACAAGCCACTATGTGCCAATAAAATGGACAACCTGAAAGAAACAAACAAGTTCTTAGAAAAGCACAACTTGCGAGACTGAACCAGGAAGAAATAGAAAATAAAAACAGACCAATCATGACCACTAAAACTGAGACTATGATTAAAAATCTTCCAACAAACAAAAGTTCAGGACCAGATGGCTTCACAGGCAAATTCTACCAAACATTTAGAGAAGAGCTAACACCTATCCTTCTCAAACTCTTCCAAAATATAGCAGAGGGAGGAACACTCCCAAACTCATTCTACAAGGCCACCATCAGTCTGATACCAAAACCAGACAAGGATGTCACAAAAAAAAGAAAACTACAGACCAATATCACTGATGAACATAGATGCAAAAATCCTCAACAAAATACTAGCAAACAGAATCCAACAGCACATTAAAAGGATCATACACCATGATCAAGTGGGGTTTATCCCAGGAATGACAGGATTCTTCACTATACACAAATCAATCAATGTGATACATCATATTAACAAACTGAAGGATAAAAACCATATGATCATCTCAATAGAGGCAGAAAAAGCTTTTGACAAAATTCAACACCCATTTATGATAAAAACCCTCCAGAAAGTAGGTGTAGAGGGAATTTACCTCAATATAATAAAGGCCATATATGACAAACCCAGAGCCAGCATTGTTCTCAATGGTGAAAAACTGAAACCATTCCCTCTAAGATCAGGAACAAGACAAGGTTGCCCACTCTCACCACTATTATTCAACAAAGTTTTGGAAGTTTTAGCCACAACCATCAGAGAATAAAAAGAAATAAAAGGAATCCTAATCGGTAAAGAAGAAGTAAAACTGTCACTGTTTGCAGATGACATGATACTATACATAGAGAATCCTAAACATGCTACCAGAAAACTACCTGAGCTAATCAATGAATTTGGTAGAGTAGCAGGATACAAAATTAATGCACAGAAGTCTCCTGCATTCCTATACACTAATGATGAAAAATCTGAAAGAGAAATTAAAGAAACACTCCCATTTACCACTGCAACAAAAAGAATAAAATACCTAGGAATAAACTTACCCGAGGAGACCAAAGACCTGTGTGCAGAAAACTATAAGACACTGATGAAAGAAATTAAAGATGATACAAATAGATGGAGGGATATATCTTGTTCTTGGATGGAAGAATCAACATTGTGAAAATGACTATATTACCCAAAGCAATATACAGATTCAGTGCAACCTCCATCAAACTACCAATGGCATTTTTCACAGAACTAGAACAAAGAATTTCACAATTTGTATGGAAACACAAAAGACCCCGAATAGCCAAAGCAATCTTAAGGAAGAAAAATGGAGCTGGAGGAATCAGGCTCCCTGACTTCAGACTATATTACAAAGCTACAGTAATCAAGACAGTATGGTACTGGCACAAAAACAGAAATATAGATGAATGGAACAGGATAGAAAGCCCAGAGATAAACCCACGCACATATGGTCACCTTATCTTTGATAATGGAGGCAAGAATATACAATGGAGAAAAGATAGCCTCTTCAATAAGTGGTGCTGTGAAAACTGGACAGCTACATGTAAAAGACTGAAATTAGAACACTCCCTAACACCATACACAAAAATAAACTCAAAATGGATTAAAGGCCTAAATGTAAGCCCAGGCACCATCAAACTCTCAGAGGAAAACATAGGTAGAACACTGACATAAATCACAGCAAGATCCTTTTTGACCCACCTCCTAAAAAGAAAAACAAAAGTAACAAATGGGACCTAATGAAAGTTAAAAGCTTTTGCACAGCAAAGGAAACTATAAACAGGACAAAAAGACAACCCTCAGAATGGGAGAAAATATTTGCAAATGAAGCAACTGACAAAGGATTAATCTCCAAAATATACAAGCAGTTCATGCAGCTCAATATCAAAAAAACAAACAACCCAATCCAAAAATGGACAGAAGACCTAAACAGACATTTCTCCTAAGAAGATATACAGATTGCCAACAAACACATGAAAGGATGCTCAACATCACTAATCATTAGAGAAATGCAAATCAAAACTACAATTAGACATTACTTCATGTTGGTCACATGGCCATCATCAAAAAATCTACAAACACTAAATGCTGGAGAGGGTGTGGAGAAAAGGGAACCCTCTTGCACTGTTGGTGGGAGTGTAAATTGATACAGCCACTGTGGAGGTTCCTTTAAAAAACTAAAGATAGAACTACCATATGACCCAGCAATCCCACTACTGGGCACATACCCTGAGAAAACCATACAAACCTGAGAAAACCAACAAAGAGTTATGCACCACAATGTTCACTGCAGCACTATTTACGATAGCCAGGACATGGAAGCAACCTAAGTGCCCATCGACAGATGAATGGATAAAGATATGGCACATATATACAATGGAATATTACTCAGCCATAAAAAGAAACGAAATTGAGTTATTTGCAGTGAAGTGGATGGACCTAGAGACTGTCATACAGAGTGAAGTAAGTGAGAAAGAGAAAAACAAATAACATATGCTAACACATATATATGGAATCTAAAGAAAAAACAACAAAAATGGTTCTGAAGAACCTAGGGGCAGGACAGGAATAAAGATGGAGACGTAGAGAATGGACTTGAGGACACAGGGAGGGGAAGTATAAGGTGGGATGAAGTGAGAGAGTAGCACTGACATATATACACTACCAAATGTAAAATAGATAGCTAGTGGGAAGCAGCTGCATAGCACAGGGAGATCAGCTCGGTGCTTTGTGTCCCCCCAGAGGGGTGGGATAGGGAGGGTGGGAGGGAGATGCAAGAGGGAGGGGACATGGGGATATATGTATACATATAGCTGATTCACTTTGTTGTACAGCAGAAACTAACACACCATTGTAAAGCAATTATACTCCAATAAAGTTGTTAAAAAAAAAGAACTATGAGAATTCCATGTTTAAAATATAATTTATTGCCCTAAATGCATAATCTTCTATTCTGAGCAAATTAGACAGCTATACTAATTCTGACTCTGGCAGCTCTTTATAGTTTGGCTTTTACTGAGGGTTTTCAACTCCAAATATGAACTACGTGGAATTCCAGAGGATGATACATAACCAATGAATCAGATTTAGGAGGAAACTTAAAATTCAACATCTTAATATCTTTTTATTTGATCCAATTCAATAAACATTTACTCACTATGAGAGAGATCTCAGAGGGGTGAGAATCAAAGTCTTAGATCTCAAGGATTTCACATAACAAACAGGATACAAAACAAGGAAGATACTCTACAACTAAGCAAAAATTGGATAGGGACCCAAAAGTTACAAAGTGCTATGGATATTCAAAGGGAGATGGTACCTAAGATTGGCCTTAATTGGAAGATAGAATTTTCACACAGAACTAATATTCCAGGCATGAAAGAAGAAAGGACAGAGAGAAGAGATTCAAGAGTTTACAAAACATGGGCTTCCCTGGTGGCGCAGTGGCTGAGAGTCCGCCTGCCGATGCAGGGGACGCGAGTTCGTGCCCCGGTCCGGGAGGATCCCACATGCCGCGGAGCGGCTGGGCCCGTGAGCCATGGCCGCTGGGCCTGCGCGTCTGGAGCCTGTGCTCCGCAACAGGAGAGGCCACAACAGTGAGAGGCCCGCATACCACAAAAAAAAAGAAAAGAAAAGAAAAAGAGTTTACAAAACATGAGAATATAATGGACTCTGTAAAAAAGTGTTCACAGATCCTTTGTGGAACCAAAAGTGTGAAAAAATGAATACATAATTACCAAGAACTTCAGGAGAGAAAAAGGAGCCAATTAGTGTTGAAAGCTACAGCAGGGTTAAGAGAATAAAGACAGAAATTATTAAGAATATATGATAATCAGGTCATTGGTGGCCTTACCTGACCTCAGTGGTGAGATCAGAAACTAAAGCCATTTCAGAGTAGAAAAACAAAAGTGGCTCAATATAAAAGGCTCATCATGAAAGAGAATAATTAAGGTAAGGAGAAAAACAGAGTTTTAGAATATGGAAGACCTGAACATGTTTGCTGACAGAGCGAAAGGAGTCAACAGAAAGGTAAAAATGGGAAGATTCAAAAGAAAGAAGGTATATTTTGGAACAAAGTTACAGAAAGTGGTTGGAAACAAAAGCATGTAAAGAGGAAAGGTGGGCCTTGGAAAGGAAAAGGGACTTTTTTCCCCTGGGAAAAAAAGATGAGCACTTCTCTGAGAGAAGAGCAAGGAAGTTGAGGGATCCTGAAAAGGCTTAAAAAAGAAAGTGCTCGGAGATCTTAGGAGCACAGGCATTTGACAAGGGCAGGAAGAAAATCAGCAGGAGACAAATAGAAAGGATTCTAGCAGCAGTGAGGGCTTAGCTGGATTCAGAAACAGAAATCTGCAGAGATACAATCGGCATATTTGATGACTTTCTCCCAATAACCTCAGAAGCCCGGGACGCTAGGGGTAGAAAGCAAATTGTGGGAAAGGAAACCAAAAAATGACTTGCCTGACTTAAAATTACTCAGGTTGGCAGGGCTGAGACAAGTGCCCAGCCAGCTCTGGCTTGCAGTTCAGAACTCTCTTTTGACTATGCTGCCTTCTTTTTAAACAAAACTTTCCTAAGGCTAGTTAAGTTGAAAAGTTAATTGCCAGTTTTAAAGTTTTAAAACCATGCTATTAAAGCAAGGTAATGAAATACTTGTTCTTTGAGCACTAACACAATAAAATTAGGACTTTTTTTTACTTGTATAACGTCATCAGTTGTGAAAAGTCAGAAGGGTTCATTGCCAGACAACACCCAGAATGTCACTTACCTGGCAGCTTCAGGAAAACCCATCTTGTATAGCGTGACTACTACTGCTCCTCCGATGCCTAAATTATGCTGCAGAGCAACCTTTGCACCAGGAACTTGCCTTTTTCCGGCTTCCCCTCTCAGCTGCCAGCAGAGTTCAGCGCACTGAGCCAGACCTAACAAATCGAACGCAGAACAGTCAGATTCCGTTGGTTTAGAAAGCTAAAGGCAGACAAGGGCTAACGTTTGATTGTGACTTTTAACTAAACCATTTTATTCAGCCAAGACGACGTTTGCCTAAGTAAGAACTTCTCTTAAAAGCCTGGAGGGTTTTTTCAGCTAGCTATTTTTTCTCGCTAAGTAATCTCTGTATTTAGACAATATTCAGGCTTCAGAAATTCCTTGTGCTCTTTAAATTTATCCAACCTGCCATTTTTTGGCAATGTTGAAAGAGAAAACACTGAATATACCGTTCTCTGGCTGAGGCAAAACAGCATAAAAATAATTTAATTTTGCCATTTTTAATGTATCAAAAGAATATAACCTAGGACTTGGGAGTTGACTTTCCCTAAAATATTTAGCTGGTATGGGAAATTTTCCTATTATTCTCCTCAAAAAGTTCCTAGAAAGAATGTTTTCTAGACCTATTCACAGCTATTCCAAAAACAGCACTGGATTCACAAAAATAGCATCTTGTCCTCTGGATAATAAAATCAGAGATTTTTAGAGCTGGAGAGAACTAAATAATGTTGAAACCAAACCGCCCTAAAACTGAGTTCCCTTACCGAGTTTGATTAATCTCTCTATCCAAAACTTTATTCCCTTACTTGTCTCCTCTGACCTCAATCCCTTTCTTGTTCCCTCAGTCCTGTGCTAACTGAACACTAATTGATCAGAGTCAGTTGACTAAGATTGCTGTTGTTAATAACATCGTTACTGTATTAAAATTGCTGTTGTAGATACCATCATACAAACTCAAGTTGTTTTTCCAGGCAAGATGAGCTCACAACCCCCAGAGCCATGGACCACCTGGCCAGAGAATCATAAACCAGACACATTCTGACTCCCAAAACCATGATTAAGAAATGTCACACATATACACACTACTATATATAAAATAGATAACTAATAAGAACCTACTGTATAGCACTCTACTCTACTCAATACTCTGTAATGACCTATATGGGAAAAGAATCTAAAAGAGTGGATATATGTATATGTATAACTGATACACTTTGCTGTACAGCAGAAACTAATACAACATTGTAAATCAACTATACTCCAATAAAAATTAATTAATAAAAAATACACGTGTTCAATAATGGGAAAAAAATGTCACAGAAATGTCTTGAGACAATGATTAATTCCAGTTTCCTTGTTCTTCCCCTTTAAAACATCCTTAACTCAAAGACCAAGATGGAGTGGATCTGAGACTTGTCTCCCACTCCCTTTCTTGGCGCCCTGCAAATAAACCCTTACTTTGCTGCAAACACCCACTATCAGAGTTTGCTTTCTGCGCCAAGCCATGGGCACAGAAGCCCTTGCTTAGGTACAAAGGTAGCAATGAGAAACTGTAAAATTAAGTAATTTGTGAATGGTCACAAAGCAGGCTAATTCCAGAGTTAAGATTAGAAGCCAAGTCTCCTGATTTACATTTGTTTTTCTCCCACACCAGCTATTCAAGGATAGTTTAGTTAAGAATGTTGGATAGACTGGTTTCATCGTTCTGGAGGCAGAGCAAACCGGTCTACCTATAATGTCTTTTCTTCCACTCACACCCCCAATCACAACGTCTGATTCCCGAATACCTATGACAGTTTTCTGTATAACCCCAACCTTCTCAAGAAATTTAACTGCCATTTCTCCTTTCTAAGCAATGTCTACATATTTTTACAGAATATATATTTTTAATACTGTTTTAAAATAGGTAATTCTACATCTTGTAATGATTTTTTGAATTGTGAACATTTTGAATATTAAGGTCAAAGTGAATAATTCTACTAATATATCCAAACTTTGGGGCAATCAGTTTTACTTGAAATCTGCCATACAAAAAGCTTAAACATTTATGAATATATAAGACCAAAAAAAGTATTCAGACTGGTCTTGTGTATACGTGGGTGGGGAAATAGGGCTAGTTCTCTTCCCCAAAGAGTAAATATACATAGTTTACAAATATTTGAGAAAAATACTCAACTTTACCTTGATCAAATAGAAAGATACTGTTCTAACCAATCACATTGGTCAGGATGTTTAAAAATGGAACTAATCAATGCTGGGGAGACTATGGCATGACAGCCACCTTCATACAGTAAAGGGTAAAAGTTCAAACTGGTACAACGTTTTTGGAAAGCAATGTAAAAAATTATTAAGAGCATTAAAAATGCCTTGAACACCATTCTATGGAAATAATCAAGCATAGGAAAAGCCTTACACACAAAGCTATCTGTTTATCACTTTCTTAGAACAGTGAAAAACTAGATAATCTACAAGTGAAATAACTGGGGAATGGTTATATAAATTATGATCTATCCATATGACAAAGTACTATGTTCCTATTTAAAATGATGTATCCAAAAATTTTAATAATTTAGGAAAATGTTTATGATATAATCTTAGTAAAAAATGCAAGGAACCCTTTAGATATTCATCTACCCATCCATCCAACAAATATTTACTGAGTGCCTAATATGTGCTGACACTGCTCAAGGCTCAGAAGATCTAATAAATAAGATAGGCATATAAAGGTACACAGCCTACTTAAGGAATAGAAAGTTAAGTGAATGAGGCTAGAGAGTGCTCAAGACAGCCAGTGAGAGTGAGAGAGAAGAAGGTGAAAAGGGAGAGAGGGAGTTGGGGGAGGGAGGCAGGCAGAAGGGGAGAGAGTGAGGGGGAGAGAAGGAGGGAGAGAGAGAACGTGAATGTACTGGAAGCACCAGATTTTGCAATAATCTCAGTCACACCATACCACTGAGACTGTAGAAGATGTGGTGTACTGTGTTAAATCTCTACTCGTGATTCGCTGAACTCACATGTGGCAAAAAAAGGAAGAAGGGAGGGAGGGAATAAAGATCCATGTTAACTTATTCATTCACTTTTAACAAAAGACAACAGTGAGAAAACATACTGATTATATGAGCTTTCTGGTTATCTGCTTTCAGAATAACCTGGCATTTCTTGCATTTCTAGAATCTAGATTTGTGAAGGGTGGAAGTCAAAAGTTGGCCTCAGAAATCTACTTGCCAAGAAGACGCAGAAGATAGTTATGAAAGCATAAACTATATAAGCAACACTTTTAAAAATTTTTCATTCCTTGGATAACTTCTGGCACTGAATTAAAAACCATATTTTTCCTCTCCTTGGAAAAAAAAAAACTATCAAACATGAACATGATATATTTATAAATTGTGGAGGGAGATAGGAATGGGCATCCTGTCAAAGTAGTATATTCAAACAGTAATGTCCTTCTTAAAGTCTCTTACAAAGGGGAAAAAATTTTTTTAACCTTGTTACTTCATTTTACTACCATCTTGCTGCAAAAATTTCCTAACAAGATGTTGGTCAATCTTTTTTTATAAAAATAATTAGCCTAGGACTCAGCTACATAGTTATATAGTCTGGTTGCTACTGAAAATAAACTATTCAAATATGTATCAAGCACTCCACTAAGTATTGAAGATACAAAGAATTCACAGTGTAATATGAAGTGCTAATAAAGATAAGTAGTAAGTGCTATGGAAATCCACAGAATGGAAAAACTACAGGGAATAATATCTTGGGCTATTACCCGAGGTCTTTTCTTCCTCCTTGCTTCCTTGAACCCATAGCTCTTCCTATACCATTAAGACAGTCAAGTACAAAAAGTCATAATTTAGCTTTAGTTTCAAATTAGACATCTAAAGACCTTAGCATAAACAGCATAAAAAAGCATGTTTTTCTATTGTTGGAGCCTGGCTTTTTGAGAAAGCAAAGATTTTTTGAGCTTTAAAGGGCAAAAAGCGTTAATGGACTCAGCATACACTGAAAAATGCACATTTATTAAGATCAGTTTTTCCCTCCAAAAGTTATAAAATTACCAACCTAGAATGCTATCAAATGTACAATATATTTCAAGAACAAAAGTAACAAGGATATTTTTCAGACAAAATAAGCTGAAAGAATTCATCACCATACTGTAACACCCACACTATAAATGTTAAAGGAAATCCTTCAGGCAGTAAGAAAATGATAACAGATGGAAATATGAACTTACACAAAGGAATGAAGTGGTAACTACATTAACCTTAAATAGATAAGGTTTTCTTATTGTTTAATCTCTTTAGGAGATAACTGATTATTTAAAAAATAATTTCTTGTGGGGTTTAAAACATATGTAAAAGAAAAATTTACAACTACAGTATTATAAGGCCTGGACAGGAGAAATGGAAGTATACTGTTGTAAGGTTCTTTTACTATTAGTGAGCTCGTATAATAACACTTGAAGATAGGCTATGATAATAAAGGTAAAATGGAGAAATAAAAAATAATCCAAAAGTAGGATGATAAAAACAGAGAAATGGGAATAAAGAACAGCTGGGACAAAGAGAACACAAATAGCCATACTAATAATCATATCAAATATAAATAGTCTAAACACCCCAATCAAAGGCAGAGACTGTCAGTGTGGAGAAAAAAAACAAGACCCAACTAAATGCTGCCAATGCACTTTAAACATAAAATCACAAATAGGTTAAAACTAAAAAGACAGAAAAAGATATACCATGTTAGCACTAGTTAAAATTTGAAAGATGGAGTGGCCATATTAAATCAGCCAAAGCAGATTTCAGAGCAAAGACTTGCCAGAGCAAAGAAGACCATTTCATGAAGATAAAGGGGAAAACATAAAACTGTCTTTATTCACAGACAATATGATTGTCTATATAGAAAACCTGATGCAGTTTTTAAACAACTACTAGGATGAATAAGTGAGTTTTAGCAAGGCTATAAGATGAATAAACAACAATTGATTGTATTTCTACATACTAGTAATGAAAGCTTGAAACTGAAAAAATACCATTCACAATAGCATCAAAAATATGAAATACTTAGGGGTAAATCTGACAAATATTTACCCCTAAGTATTTACCCCATAATCTGACAAATATGTGCAAGATCTGTACAGTGAAAACTATA